ATTCTCCCTATTTCCCAGAAGGCCTGGAGCGTGCCGCTGCCGTTCCAGGCTCGCTCCCGGGCCGCGTGTCCCTGATCCCGGTTTCCCTCCGCTCCAGGTGAAGGAGTTCGACTCCATCTCCCGGCTGGACCAGTGGCTCACCACGATGCTGCTGCGCATCAAGAAAACCATCCAGGGGGAAGGGGACGGAGACCTCAAGTGACGCCCGCGGGGATCCCCCCGCCCGGCCGAGGACTATTATGGGATACCTGGCCCATTTTCCCCCCCTTCCCGCTTTATCCCGTGGCTTCCCACTCCCAGCGCCCCGTGTGCTCCTTTAGCTCCTGCTCGTCGTGGTGAGGCCGGGCGGCTCCGGCGGATCCGAGGCGGGAGCCGCTTCCTCCTCGGCTCTGGTGCTGCTCCGCCCTCGCAGCTCCCGGTTTTCCCGCTGTTCTCCTGATTCCAGCATGTAACACCTTTGGTCCAGGCCAGCACAGCACAAGTAATCGCTTCCGACCCCGTTGTGTTGTTCCCATTTTCCGGTTCTCGGTGGCCCTCCGTTGGATACACATGGATGTGGGGTCCTTTAAGCTTTTTCTCCCCCCGGTGCTAGTGAGAGGCTTTGGGATTTGGGAACTGCTGCACACCCCCAACACGCTGCCCTAGTGCCGGAGGCATTCCGAGGCTTGGGAACAGGAGCGCCGGGATCGCCGTTGGCCCTCGCGGAGCCCCAGTTCAGGGTTGGTTTGTATCTGTCTCAAATATCCAGCGTAAGGTGGATGGATTTCCCACTTTTATTTTGTGGTGCATCCCGTCCCTCCACCCCCAAAATCACTCCACACGAGTAATAATCTATTTTTCTACCTTTCTCTCCGCGTTCCTCGCTGGAACGTGGGTGCCAGGTGAGCACAGTTTCGCTTTGGAGAGGTGGGAGACGCGTTGAAAAATTCCTGCTGGAATTTAGGGGTGTGTTTTGAACCACGTGGGGAAGGAGAGAGGATCGAGCTGCCTCTTTTTTTTCATGGGTATATGGGAGTCTGTGCAATCTGTCTGTTCCAAGAGTGAGGAAGTCATTCATTGAGGGCTGTTGTGGTGGCTCCAGGCAGCCCCAGCCCCTCGTTTCTCTGGAAAAAAGGGACAATTTTGGGGGGGGGGGGGTTGCACTTTGCTTTGGTAGGAAATTCGGTACTGGGATAGAGCAGGGCTTGGCCTGGTGGGTGTCACTCCAGAACGTGGTACTTGGTCTGTGCCACGAGCTTCTGAAAACCAAAAAAAAAAAAAACCTGATCCATGCCAAATTATTATTGTTGTGGTGTTTTCCCCGCCCTTCCCTCTCCCTTATCTTCCCCAGGCTGTTGTGGAATCCCAAGGGGATGGGAAAGCCCGGCTTTAGGAGGGCAGTGGGTGGATGCTCTCCCAGCTCAGTGTAGTTACAATTTTCTCCCACCCTTAGCAATGGCTTTGTTGTGTCCAGCACTGTTGGAGCCGGGATCAGGGGGAGCCAGGATTAGGGGCTGGGAGGCTCCACTTTTCCCAGTGTTTTTTTGTGGTTTTTTTTTTTTAGGCCTTGTTCTGTTCCCTTTCCCCGTTGTCAGTATTAAGCACAGGGGCTGTAGGACGCAGGTGGAGCAGGAGGGTCTGTTGCTACCACCCCTACACCTGTTAGTTGTGTGTGAGTAGGCTCAGCATGTCCTCCGGTGTATCCATGGTGAACTGTGACGGTTTCCAGGTGACAATCCACCACTACTCTGCTGTATTCCCCCCCCCTCCTCTTCCATCACTCTCTTACTCAGAAAAACTTATTAATGAAATGGCCTTAGCAGGAATATCATGTTTTGTGTGACTCTGTACATGAATAAAGTGAAAATCATGGATGTAAGGAAGGA